CTTAATCACATATATAGCCAGTGGATTTTGGAATCAGATTAAACTATGTATTATTTAGTTACATATATAGCCAGTGGATTTTGGATTCAGATTGAACTATGTATTACTTAATCACATATATGTTTGGATTCAGATTGAACTATGTATTATTTAGTTACATATATAGCTAGTGGATTTTGGAATCAGATTAAACTATGTATTATTTAGTTACATATATAGCCAGTGGATTTTGGATTCAGATTGAACTATGTATTATTTAGTTACATATATAGCCAGTGGATTTTGGATTCAGATTGAACTATGTATTATTTAGTTACATATATAGCCAGTAGATTTTGGATTCAGATTGAACTATGTATTATTTAGTTACATATATAGCCAGTGGATTTTGGATTCAGATTGAACTATGTATTATTTAGTTACATATATAGCCAGTGGATTTTGGATTCAGATTGAACTATGTATTATTTAGTTGTTTTCGTTAAATCAAGATAACTAACTATACAGTTCATCACCATCATAAACACATGTACAAGACAACTGATTTCAATCACGATAACTAACTATACAGGGAACAAAAGTCAAACAGCATCGTAACTTATCTAAGTTCTAAAACTGTTATTTCAAGGTTAATAACATTAAAACTATCGGAATAGAAATGAAACCAAAGAAAAGTTGAAGGCAGGAGTGAGAGAAGAAGGAATATGAACTTTTACATCATCATGTAATAATAAGTAATTCATCACACATTAATTAAGAAGAAAAATTTTTCTTAAAGGAGTGACAAACCTTATTATATATATTTTTTAACAATAATTTTTTTGTCATTCCTATTCAGTGGAATCTTTTAATACCGTAGATTTCAAACATGTTTTTCTATCTCTAGGCAATAAAAAATAAAATAGATAGTCCTTCTTAATAATGATACAGGCAGAGTAGGCAAAAAATAAAATAGACACTCCTTCTTAATAATGATACAGGCAGAGTAGGCAAAAAAATAAAATAGATACTCCTTCTTAATAATGATACAGGCAGAGTAGGCAATAAAAAATAAAATAGATACTCCTTCTTAATAATGATACAGGCAGAGTAGGCAAAAATAAATAAAATAGACACTCCTTCTTATACAGAAAGATATATACTAAACTATCATGTTTCATAATGTGTAAAACTACAAAAGCCAACAATATTTTACTTGAAACATCTGAGAATTAAATATAGCGACTCAATTTGTAAACTGAAAACTCTTTCTAGTTTAGGTCATGTGCAACAGTACTGACACCTAGTGGATACTATCTCAGAATGTTAATCAACTTTTCAGCCTTGTTCAACTGTGTAAAATTGTATGTGTGTTTTTTTGTAGGAAAGCCACATTCGGCCGTCTGCTGTGTCCACCGAGGGGAATCAAACCTCTGATTTTGGCATTGTAAATCCATAGAGTTACTGCTGTCCTACTGGGGGACTAGACTGGAGGTAACACGTACAACACTTAGTACTTAGCCTGTAGTTTTACCACAGCTATAAGCTATTATGTAAACACAACAGTGAAGATATGGGATAAACAACGATTCTTACTTGTAAGACTGATAACACGACCGAATTCGAATTCCTCCTTTAACAAAGGTGAGTAAACTTTGGTCATAAACAAACGTCAAAATAGCATTCATCAGTAGACATTCTGCATAGGTTAGTTCAGCATGGACTTCAACTGAAAGGCAAGTATTTACTTCTGTAAATTTACAATCCATTAAATCACCTAGTAAGGAGGGTGTAAGGAAACATTGAACCACTGTCATTAGTTCTTTAAACAGAATAATCATTTTTACAAATCATTCAACCACACTAGCTAATATAATTCAATCTGAATCCAAAATCCACTGGCTATATATGTGACTCTTTACACAAGAAA